GTGCAGCTGTGTGTGTGGAACGGCCGCAGAGCCAGCAGTCCCCGCGCATCCGGCCCCGATGGGTTGCTGAGGATACGGCGGAACAGGCTGTGGTGGCCGGCGGCGCGCAGCGCGCTCTCCACGCCAAAGGTGTTGGCATCGGAGATGAGAATCACCTCGAAGCAGGCGCCCTGTTTAGCCACAAACTGCAGCAGGTCGCCCATGCCTGGCGACAAAGGGATGGCTTCGTAGATGGCACGCAAGTCCCGCGGTCGCACACCCTGCTCGCCCAGGTACTTGAAGACGCGCTGCATGTACTCGTTGTAAAAGCCCTCGCGGTAGGTGGCTCGCAGGCTCTCCGGGAGCCGCTGGCCTGGCGCGGCGCGCACAATGGAATCGTCGCTGTTTTCGTCCACGATAGTCTCGTCGAAGTCGAAGGTCAGGAGGAAGCGCGGCGCGCCCTGCGCAGCCATCCCGCCGTCCTGGGAGCAGGGGGGAGAGCAGCAGGAGGAGGAGGAGGAGGGAGCAAGCGAGAGGGGGCGCGGCAGGAGCCCGCCCGGGAGAGGCTGGTTAGCGGGCCACGGCCAGAGGCGCTGGCACATCCAAGACCTGAGGAGGACCCAAGTCTGGTTAAGCTGGGAGGAGTACCCAATGCCACCACCTCTATCCCCAGCCTTCCCTGACTACCCCAGTGGCACCTCTTACTTAACTGCACCGGGGTTTCTGCCCAGAGGGCTTCCCGGCACCTGTTTTCGGTACTCTCATCAGGGACCAATGGGGCTTAACAAGGGTCAAAAGAAGGGAAGAGCAGCTTCCGAGGATCACCACTTTGGGGAGGTTTCTGGACTGGACTGTTTTGGAGACTTCCAGTGGCCCCTGTTGTTCGTGTGGATCAAGAGAGGGTGGTGGGAACTCTCCCCTTCCTCATTCCCTGAGGCAGTCAAGGGAAACTACCCATCCACCCAACTGGACCGGCTTCCCCATTCAACTTTTGGGCTGTGGGGAATCTATGGCTCTCTGGGAGCTGCTTCCAGCCCAATGGCACTGGACAGAGGTCTAGGGATGGGGCACAGCTTCTCCAGGGAGTTTGAGGGCCCTGTGCTGACAGCTCATCACTAATCACTTGCCAATTCCCCAGGAGGAACGTGTCAGCGGGTGGGGTTTCTGCCAGAGTCCGAAGCAAGCGGGCAGCAGGAGAAGCAGTGGGGCTTGGGGAGGTAAGAGCCTCCCGCACCAGGCCACGACATACCTG